CGAGGGAGAGTGAAAGATAGTGAAAGAGAAAGGAAGAGAGAGAGAGAGAGAGAAAGCGAGAGGAGGATATATAAGAGAGATGATTATAGAGACAGAGAAGATGGATAGGAAGAGAACGAGGGAGAGTGAAAGATAGTGAAAGAGAAAGGAAGAGAGAGAAAGCGAGAGGATATATAAGAGAGATGATTATAGAGACGGAGAAGATGGATAGGAAGAGAACGACAGAAAGGGGGGGGGGGGGGGTTAGAGTGAAAGAGAAAGAGAGAAAGCGAGAGGAGGATATATAAGAGAGACAATTATAGAGACAGAGAAGATGGATAGGAAGAGAACGAGGGAGAGTGAAAGATAGTGAAAGAGAAAGGAAGAGAGAGAAAGAGAGACAGAGAGAGAGAAAGCGAGAGGAGGATATATAAGAGAGACGATTATAGAGACAGAGAAGATGGATAGGAAGAGAACGACAGAAAGGGGGGGGGGGGGGTTAGAGTGAAAGAGAAAGGAAGAGAGAGAGAGAGAGAAAGCAAGAGGAGGATATATAAGAGAGATGATTATAGAGACAGAGAAGGTGGATAGGAAGAGAACGACAGAAGGGGGGGGGGGGGTTAGAGTGAAAGAGAAAGGAAGAGAGAGAGAGAAAACAAAAAAGGAGACATATGCAGTCAATAGCATTATCTAATGAATGAGCGTTATACTTCTTCTTTCATCTTTAACCAAGAGCAATATTTTCTATAATTAAAAATTAAAAGCTCACCCTCTGATCTACGCTCGCTGGCATGGGTGTCGATTTGTATCCGTGGTTGGGGGGGATTATAGGTGCCAAAATATTTTCGGCAATGGATCAAAGCAACCAAGAGGTAGAAGCGTGTGGCAGGTTGCACCCCCTTCCAAGTTATTAACTTTTTTCAAGTCGCCCTCAATAAAGATAACATTTCAGAGAATTTAAGAGTGGTAATAAAATTAATAACACGCTAAATGTTAGTCCTGACTCTGTAGGCCTACCAGACTGATATCATCTATTTTTAAACGAAATTTAGACATTACCAAAAAAAAATCCAATGGTGAGGGATATCAACTTGTGAAAGTATTATGTTACCAGTGGGCAAATACATTAATAAGCAACCAGGAAAGGTTCATGTAGACAGAAACTCTTTATTTCCTGTTGATCGAAACATACATTTTATGAATAGGCTTATTGATGTCTCCAAACAACATTCATCGTGAAAAACCCATTCCAATATTCTGTGTAAGGAGATCTCAAAAAAACAAAGTTACACATGGGGAAAATCTGGGTTAACCTATATGGGTACCAGATGGGATTAAGCTGGGCATACCCATTCGGGCCCAGTTTGGGGAGTTTGGTATGAGTGCCATCTGTCTTATATGGGTCCCATATGCTTTTGGGTACAGATGCCTTAGGGCCAGGGGCGGCGATTCCTTTTTATGACCGGGTGGGGGGGGGGGGGAGAAATGCGAGGAACGAGGGAGGAGGGACGTAATGAGCAAAACAGTTTTGTTTGAAGGGGGGTGGGGAAGAAAAATCCGCATCATCACCACTCTTACATGTTACATGCAGGCCCCACGGAACGTTTTTTCAAAGTGGGAGGAGGGGCTAAAGTATTTGCGTTTAGATAGAGCAAGGCAAGTGGGGCTTAAATTGGCGCGGGGTCCAGGGGCAAAGCCCCGACGGGGCTCAAGGGGCGCAGCCCCATGAAGCTCAGAGTTTTGGGCATTTAATAAGGGTCAGATGAGATTATTTTGATACCTTATTTGTGACACCTTCATGCAGGTCACTAAGCAGAGTGGGGTCCAGGGGACGAACCCCCAGAAGCTCAGCGATTTTAGGCATTAAATTACGATCAGATGAGCATGCAGGGGCCGCCTTAGGGCCCTTGGTGTGGTCTAGGGGGCGGAGCCCCCGGAACCTCAGGGCTTTAGGCTTTTGAATATGGTCATATGAGCATCCAGTGGCCTGCTTAGGGCCCTGATGGGGTCTAGAGGGCGGAACCCCGGAAGCTCGGGTGTTTTAGGCATTTAATTATGGTCAGCTAAGCAACCAGGGGGCCCGCCTTAGGGCCCTTGTTGGGGTACAGGGGACAGAGCCCCCGGAAGCTCAGGGAAAATCATGCCATTTCAGCAACATTTGTAAATTAGTCACTGGTATCGAATTAGAAATAAACCACGTTTGAATTTTATCGGGGGGGGGGGGGACTGCCCCAAGCCCGAATGAGTGAGCATAGCCAACGAGAGGGGTGAAGGTGACGAAAGTGACTATACCCCTTACAGGTTTTGAAGTTTTGTTTTATTACAAAATTATATTCCTTTACAAAACTATAATATGAAAACAAACAATATACTTTTTTCACACTTCACTTTTCTGCAATATTTACTTGTACATTTTGAAGGATATTATGCGGGGGAGCAAAGCTCCCGAGCCAGAAGATTTTTGCATTTTTATTTGTCTTAACGCTGCACTCTTGGGCCCTCCACAGTTTAATAGTGTGTTGCAGTCTTTGGTCAGTACTTGCTGTACATTATTTTTTTGCACTTTTTCAAATTTTCCGGGGGGGGGGGACGATTCCCCCGTCCCCCCGGGATCGCCGTCCCTGCTTAGGGCCCTAGATGGTTTTCCATATGGGGCCTATGTTTCAGAGAATATGAGACCCATGTGGGTCCCAAATGGGCTTGCTACCTGTTTTATTATCCTCTCTGTCTGAGTGAAAGATAGTGAAAGAGAAAGGAAGAGAGAGAGAGAGAGAGAGAAAGCAAGAGGAGGATATATAAGAGAGATGATTATAGAGACAGAGAAGATGGATAGGAAGAGAACGAGGGAGAGTGAAAGATAGTGAAAGAGAAAGGAAGAGAGAGAAAGCGAGAGGAGGATATATAAGAGAGATGATTATAGAGACGGAGAAGATGGATAGGAAGAGAACGACAGAAAGGGGGGGGGGGGGTTAGAGTGAAAGAGAAAGAGAGAAAGCGAGAGGAGGATATATAAGAGAGACAATTATAGAGACAGAGAAGATGGATAGGAAGAGAACGAGGGAGAGTGAAAGATAGTGAAAGAGAAAGGAAGAGAGAGAAAGAGAGACAGAGAGAGAGAAAGCGAGAGGAGGATATATAAGAGAGACGATTATAGAGACAGAGAAGATGGATAGGAAGAGAACGACAGAAAGGGGGGGGGGGTAGAGTGAAAGAGAAAGGAAGAGAGAGAGAGAGAGAAAGCAAGAGGAGGATATATAAGAGAGATGATTATAGAGACAGAGAAGGTGGATAGGAAGAGAACGACAGAAAGGGGGGGGGGGTTAGAGTGAAAGAGAAAGGAAGAGAGAGAGAGAAAACAAAAAAGGAGACATATGCAGTCAATAGCATTATCTAATGAATGAGCGTTATACTTCTTCTTTCATCTTTAACCAAGAGCAATATTTTCCATAATTAAAAATTAAAAGCTCACCCTCTGATCTACGCTCGCTGGCATGGGTGTCGATTTGTATCCGTGGTTGGGGGGGATTATAGGTGCCAAAATATTTTCGGCAATGGATCAAAGCAACCAAGAGGTAGAAGCGTGTGGCAGGTTGCACCCCCTTCCAAGTTATTAACTTTTTTCAAGTCGCCCTCAATAAAGATAACATTTCAGAGAATTTAAGAGTGGTAATAAAATTAATAACACGCTAAATGTTAGTCCTGACTCTGTAGGCCTACCAGACTGATATCATCTATTTTTAAACGAAATTTAGACATTACCAAAAAAAAATCCAATGGTGAGGGATATCAACTTGTGAAAGTATTATGTTACCAGTGGGCAAATACATTAATAAGCAACCAGGAAAGGTTCATGTAGACAGAAACTCTTTATTTCCTGTTGATCGAAACATACATTTTATGAATAGGCTTATTGATGTCTCCAAACAACATTCATCGTGAAAAAACCCATTCCAATATTCTGTGTAAGGAGATCTCAAAAAAACAAAGTTACACATGGGGAAAATCTGGGTTAACCTATATGGGTACCAGATGGGATTAAGCTGGGCATACCCATTCGGGCCCAGTTTGGTATGAGTGCCATCTGTCTTATATGGGTCCCATATGCTTTTTGGGTACAGATGCCTTAGGGCCAGGGGCGGCGATTCCTTTTTATGACCGGGTGGGGGGGGGGGGGAGAAATGCGAGGAACGAGGGAGGAGGGACGTAATGAGCAAAGCAGTTTTGTTTGGAGGGGGGGGGGGGGTGGGGAAGAAAAATCTGCATCATCACCACTCTTACATGTTACATGCAGGCCCCACGGAACGTTTTTTCAAAGTGGGAGGAGGGGCTAAAGTATTTGCGTTTAGATAGAGCAAGGCAAGTGGGGCTTAAATTGGCGCGGGGTCCAGGGGCAAAGCCCCGACGGGGCTCAAGGGGCGCAGCCCCATGAAGCTCAGAGTTTTTGGGCATTTAATAAGGGTCAGATGAGATTATTTTGATACCTTATTTGTGACACCTTCATGCAGGTCACTAAGCAGAGTGGGGTCCAGGGGACGAACCCCCAGAAGCTCAGCGGTTTTAGGCATTAAATTACGATCAGATGAGCATGCAGGGGCCGCCTAAGGGCCCTTGGTGTGGTCTAGGGGGCGGAGCCCCCGGAACCTCAGGGCTTTAGGCTTTTGAATATGGTCATATGAGCATCCAGTGGCCTGCTTCCATCTTTATTCTGACCGTATATATTCGCAATAGTAAACTTCATATTTTCATGGAAACAATTGATACCAAAATGCGACCGTCTTCATCTCTATGCACGGAATGAACTGTGATACCACAGCTAGGTTTAAACAAAATACATACTCTCGCGCTGTTAGACTTTCCATGACAAAAGTAAATCTTATAACCCCACTTATTAGACCACATCTGTTGAGATTTTCTTGTACTATGGGTTTCCTGAAGAAAAGATATTTCAAATGACAAATCTCTCATCCAATTAAAAAAACATCTTCAGGTAAAATTATTAACTATATTGACAAACAATGCAGGTCCAGACTCTCAAGCTTCATAATATCCAATGTACCACACCAGCCTCATCACATCACCTTGCAGAAACACTTAGTTCTATGCCAAACCTGACTGACCTGACACTGCATGGAATAGAGCCAAAGGAGGAGTTCTACTCCACATTGAAAGCAAAAGCATCATCCATACAGGTATGTGTGTCCTAATGGAGAAGTTCATTGATAGAAAGAAAGAGCAGAATTTTCATTTCACGCCAAATAAATTGAATTCAATTGAATTCAAAACTATGCATGTAGAGATTTAGTTAAATTTTAAGTGTGTAGGAGATTAATATTGTCTTAATCAATAATTAATATCCAACCTTTTAAAAGTTTGGCTGATAGGAAAAAATGTTTCATTAAGTATTTTAAGAGCAAATTTTGATAAAGGCTTGAATTTACAAAACTGAACCATATCAGCAAACCTCCTGACTTAGGATTCTTGTGCACATGATATCAAGAGTAAAGAATACCTTTAATACATTAATAGCAAATGCATATTTCTGGGTATTATTAATTTTCAGTGTTATTAGGATGAGAACTTATCAATGCGAACCGTTTGGAAGCCCTATAAAGAATACATATAGAATTATTTTAAAAATCACCCTTACTAATCATCCTCTCCAGAGAAACGTGTGTGTGTTCTTTATTTGTAATAGGCCAATTTGAATTTGAAAACAAAGTGTATTCAATCAGTTTTGTAGTGTATTTTATTGTGAATATAACTATGTAAAACATAGAATTTCTGTTAAAAGTAAGAAGACGATGATAAAATATTAAATTTAATATATGCATGTATAGGTAAACTGCTTGACTCTATTCACAAACAATACAGGTCCAGACTCTCAATCTTCATCGTCTCCAGTGTCCCACATCAGCCTCATCACATCACCTAGGAGAAGCACTGTGCTGTATGCCAAACCTGACTGACCTGACCATGAATGGATGGAACTTTGATGAGGAGTTCTACTCTACATTGAAAGCAAAGGCATCATCCATACAGGTATGTGTGTCCTAATGTAAATGTCATGGAGGGTCATTGATCAACAAGACAGCAGTAATAGTTAAATGGTGCACACGTATATATATATATATATATATGTTTTTCCCCCAAACACATTTTTTAAAAGGCCATTCACTTGGTAAATTAGAATAGTCATGAAACATGAAAAGAAAGCAAACTACACCTAAGCTGATTCAGTTGAAATTTAAGTGTGTATAAGACTATAAGATTTACATTGTTTTGATCAATCAATATCCAACCTTTTCCTAGTTTGATTGATATGAAAAATGTGTCGTGTATTTTTTTTTACAACCAATTTTAATAAAGGCTTGAATTGTCCAAAGCTGTTCCATATCCACAAACTTGCTGACTTAAGGTTCTTGTGCACATGAAATCAATGATCTAATGGATCTCAATGAGGAGTTCTGCTCAACATTGAAAGCAAAGGCATCATCCATGCAGGTATGTGTGTCCTGATGTAAATTTCACGGATAGGGTCATTGATAGAAAGAAAGAGCAGAATTTTCTTTTCATGCCAAATAAATTGAGTTGAATTGAATTTAAAACTAAGCATGTGGAGATTCAGTTGAATTTTAATTTTTGCTATGAATACAGCAGTACGTTTTTTGTATGTTTTGTTACGTTTTTTTAATGTTTAAAAAAAAAAATTAAAGGAATTTTTTATAAACATTTTTGTAAAGTTTCGATTTATGCCTTGCAATGTCTCCCAGCTCAGTAATCGGTGTGTTGACTCACCACTCGGAAACTAGAACAACACTTAAATTTGTCTGTCATCTCAACATGTAGTTTATAATAATAATTCCTCCAATTTTTCTTCTATTACACACGTTGTACCGGTGTACCACAAGATTCTATCCTATGTCCTCTACGGTTTTTAATTTGCATTAATGATCTAATACACATTCTTCTAAAACGACATTGTTAATATTATTTGTTACAAGTTCACAAGCACAAATCAGCGCCTTCAACTGCACCTTGCAGTCCTTCCCGCGTGGGTTTTTTAGCACGGACCTGGCTTGCTGCCGACAGAGTCGGTAACAAAAAACAAAAAAACGATGTTACGTGGTACTGCCGTTATGTTAAGGTGAGGGATTTTTTCAAACATACTGTTTTTTGCTCTTAAGAATATTTGTTGTTGTTGATGAAGGTTGGCATCTCTGGGAAAGTAAGAAGACAATGAGAAAATATTTAATTCAATATATGGATGTATAGGTAAACAATTTTTTTTTAAATATTTAAACTTATAATTGCTTCTTCATGTTAACAAGGAATAATAAAACATACATTCATAGGCGTTTTACAAATTAATAACTTCCATCGTATAATAGTACATTAGTCAGAATCATAAGTGTGAACATAAATGGATGAAGGCAAATGAAAATGAGTAAGACCTTTTAAATTACACTAAGGGTTTCCATTTTTTAAGATGAACATGTAGTTTCCCTTTACGTAAAGCAATGATTCGTTCAATTTTCCCAAGGTAAAGCATATCTGCCTGAAACTGACTGAAAATCAACGTTTTGTCAAAATATTTGTTTCTTTGTATTTATTTAAAGTATTTACTGTAAAATATAACTGTGTTTACAAAAATGTCTCCTGGGTGTACGCCAAAACAGATATCTAGTTGAGAAAGTGGTAAAGTAATTACTTTTAACTCACATAACCACTTGTAAACATAGGTCCAAAATTTAGCTACAATTAGGCAGGAGAAAAACATATGCATCAAATTCTGGTTATCCTTTTGGCAAAAATTACATTTGGTGAGGTCTTTATACCAATACGAAAGAGAAATTCGTTGGTCGCAATTTTCTGGTGAATGAATTTAAATTTGAATGTTCAAATTTTTGTATCTAAAGTTGTCTTGAATACTTTAACAAAACGGTCTTGCCATTGCATTAAATTCTCTAGACTTAAATTAAAATCATCTTCTCATTTTCTCAATTGGTTTGTCTTTTCCAAACTCAATGATATTTTTTTCCATATATAACAAATAACAAAATTTAGAAGATTTCTTTTTTGACAAAAATGTACTAAGTTTGTTATCTTCAAGGCTAGGATTACAAATTCTTTGGGTAAAAACTTTCTTCCAAGTTGACCTGATTGCATAAACAATAGCACTATAATTCATAAATTGAGTTAAATTCAGTGGAAAATCATGTTGAATTTCAGAAAATGTTTTGAAGCTACCATCTTCTTTCAAAATATCGTGAACATATTTAACTCCTGAATCATACCATTTTCTATAAAAATAAAATTCTACCGTCTACTTTGATGGCAGAGTTATTCCATAAAAGTTGTGACACAATATCCTTGAATTTAACCGGATTGTAGTACTTATAAGAAGACCATGCTGTTAAGACATTCGACCAGAATTGATTTATTGAAAAGGAATGTATATCTCCCACCTGAAAGTAAAACTAAAAACAATTTCTTCCACATAATGTTTCATTTGGCATTGAAAAAAAATGTTTTCCAAATACCCTTGTTTTGTTTATCCAAAACTCTCTTTACCCATGCAACTTCGAGTGCACTACAAAAGCTCTTAAGATGGGTCATTTGCAACCCCACATCTTCATATGTATTAAACATAATATGTCTTTTGATCCTATCTGTTTTTCCACTCCATAAAAAATTAAAGCACATCCTTTGCATTGTGACAAAAAAACTATCTGGTGGATCTGGCAAATTACTAAATAAATAAACAAATTTAGGTATACCTAGTGATTTAATTACTGTAATTTTCCCAAGTAGGGTCAAGTTTTGACAGTTTCATACCTTTAAAAGTGTTTTAGCTTCTTTTATCTTAGCCTCAAAATTGATTGAATAGATATCTGATAAAAAATCAACTGGAATGTTTATACCTAAGTAATTGATAACATTATCAACCCATTCGACAGTCAAATGATTACATAACATACCTGTAAACTTTCCCAATCTCACAATTTTACTCATATTAACATTGATTTTCAAACCAGAAATATTTGAGTACACCGATAAAATATCGAAGCAATTCGAGAGATTAAGTTCCGTGGCTGCAAGATAAATAAGGGTATCATCTGCGTATTGACTTATCCTCACTTCATTGCCTTTAAATTTAATACCTTCTATCTGAGTACTCTGTCTAAACATGATACCTAGAATTTCAGCTCCGATTAAAAACAAGTAGGGAGAAAGAGAACATCCTTGTCTAACCCCCCTTAGTAAAGTAAAAAGCTTTCTCAAAATCAATCGAGAAAACTATACCCCCTATTCGATATTTTTTGCCAAAATCAATTGAGTCTATAAACAACCAAATATTTTCACCTATATATCTACCTTTAAGAAATCCAGTCCTCATGAATAATCAGAGGAAGAACCTTTTGAAGTCTGGTTGCTAAAATCTTCGCTAAAATCTTATAATCTGTATTTAAAAGTGATATTTGACGCCAGTTCTTCAGATGGCAGATATCTTTATTTTTGGGGGTAACAAAGTTATCCCCCGTTTCATTGAAGGACACAGTTCTCCATTTTTATAGCGAATATTAAAAACTTCACAAAGGAATGTTTTTATATCTTCCCAAAATATCTTATAAACATTAACAGGTAAGCCATCAGAGTCTGTTGTTTTATCACAAGACATTGGCATAATTGCATCGTAACATTCTTTTACTAATACAGATCCTTCACAAAGCAAAGCTAAATCATTATTAATACAAGGTATATTCAGATTTGTTAATGTGCTCTCGAGATAACATAATCAATATTATTTGAAGTACCGTTATACAAGTTTTCATAAAATTGTTTTTCTTCACTCAATATATCAGATGGCTCCGTTATAATGACATCACCTTTTTCCAACTGTTGTATATGTTTCTCATCGAAATTCTTCTTTTCTAAGTTTAGAAAATAACGTGAATTCTTTTCTCCCTATGATATCCAAGTTGCTCTTGAACGGCCCATTATTCTGCGAAGATATTCTTCATGTATCTTTTGTAACTCTGCCTCTTTACAAATCAAAGTTTCTTTCAACATGTCGTCATCTTGATTTTCTACCAAAACTCCTTGGAGCTTCTCAATATCTTTCAACAAAACATTTACTTCAAGTTTCTTTTCTTTTTTGTGAAGAGGATAATGAAACACATTTTTCTCTTTTAACTTCAGATATTCCCATAATATATTCACTTCCATATTTATATTTCCTCAATAACAGAGCGTATACTTTTGTGTATCTCACTCCTATTAGGCAGTGACAATAATAAAGAAGTATTTAGCTTCCAGAATCCTGGACACCTTCTAGGGACTGATTGTTCAATTGATAAACTAATTGCAGAATGGTCACTTCTGTAACCATAATGTATATCTGTATGAACAATAGAATTCTTTTGAAAGTATTTGAAATCAGAAAATAATCTATTCTACTTTGGAAAGTATTTGAACGCCAAGTGTATTGAAGTTTACATTGATTCATAAAAGGCCAGATATCTACTAAATCAAAATCCTCTTTCAAGGTTTCTATATACGTGTGAAACAATTAGGATGATACTGATTGTTGTTGGGACAGCGGTCCACGTGAGGATCTTGGACAGTGGTCATATCACCTCCAAGAATATATGGTTCTTCACCAAACTGATTTGCATGCAAACCTTCAAAAAGTTCACTTCCATCTTTATTCGGACCATATATATTCGCAATAGTAAACTTCATATTTTCATAGGAAACAATTAATACCAAAATGCGACCGTCTTAATCTCTATGTACAGAATGAACTGTGATACCACATACTTCGCGCTGTTAGACTTTCCATGACAAAAGTAAATCTTATATCCCCACTCATTAGACAACATCTGTTAAGATATTTCAAATGACAAATCTCTCATCCAATTAAAAAAACATCTTCAAGTAAAATTCTTAACTATATTGACAAACAATGCAGGTCCAGACTCTCAAGCTTCAATTTCTCCGGTGTCCCACATCAGCCTCATCACATCACCTAGCAGAAGCACTTTGTTCTATGCCAAACCTGACTGACCTGTCACTGATCACAATGGATCTAAATGAGGAGTTCTGCTCTACATTGAAAGCAAAGGCATCATCCATGCAGGTATGTATGTCCTGATGTAAATTTCACAGATAGGGTCATCGATAGAAAGAAAGAGCAGAATTTTCTTTTCATGCCAAATAAATTGAGTTGAATCGAATTTAAAACTAAGCATGTGAAGATTCAGTTGAATTTTATTTGTGTAGAAGATTAACATTGTTTTGATCAATAATTATCATTCAACTTTTTTCCAAGTTTGATTGATATGAAAAATATGTAATAAAGATTGTAAAGAGCCAATTTTTAATAAAGGCTTGAATTTTCCAAACTGCACCATAGCACCAAACATCCTGACTTAAGATTCTTGTGCACATGAAATCAAGAGTTATGAATAACTTTAATACATTAATATTAAATGTATTCCTGGTATTATTAATTTCAGTGTTAGTAGGATGAGGACTTATCAATGCAAACAGGTTGGAAGCCCTATAAAGAATACATATAGAATTTAAGAAAAATCAATTTTTACTAAATAATTCTCTCCATGGAAACTTTATTTTGTTCTTTTTCTGAATAGACAAGAATTGAATTTGAAAACAAAATCTATTCAATCAGTTTTCTTGAGAAGGTTATTGTGAATACAACTATTTAACTACCGGTAATGTAATTTGTGTGAAGTGTAAGAATACAGTCAGAAATTAGTAAATATAATGTATGCATGTATATACGTTCTGCTTAACTATCTTCACAAACAATGCAGATCCAGACTCTCTTGAATTTACCAAACTGGACCATAGCAACAAACCCTCTGACTTAGGGGACTTGTGCACATGAAACCCAGGGTTCTGAATCTTTTAATACATTAATAGCAAATGTATATTTATGGGTATTATTGATTTCAGTGTTATTATGGTAGTAGGAATTATCAATGCAAACAGGTTGGAAGCCCTATAAATTATACATACTAGGATAGTACTATTTTAACAATTTCTCTTACTAGTCATCCTCTCCATAGAAACTTTTGTGTGTAATTTTCAGTAATAGACAAATTTGAATTTGAAAATAAAATCTATTCAATTAGTTCTGGTGTGTATTTTATTATGAATATAACTATATCAAAAATAGAATTTCTGTCAAAAGTAAGAAGACAATAAGTAACTAGAAAATTGAATTCGTCATGGGGACGAATTAGGTGGTCTGTCTTCACTTATGATAGATTTGAGAATGGGAGAAGTTATATAGACATGTAAACAATGATGCTCATGATGACCATGATGATGATCATGATAGTAAAGGTGGTGATGATGATAATGATAATGTTATATGATGATAAAAACGATAATGTTAATGATAATGATAAGCATGAGCATGATCCTGACATCTGATTGAAAAAATGAGGAAATATTTAGATAGCATATAGTCTCAGCTACAACATACTAAAATTTGGGAGAAAACTATTGAATAACAACCGAGATAATGGTCAAAACACATTGTCATGCAGATTCATGTTTTGAAAAGTGACCTTCCATAGACATAACACGCAAATATGACAAATTATGCATTGTCGAATATTTAACTATGATGACCTCATCCAAATGAAAAATAAATGACAGATTTCTGATAGAGAATTATCTCAGCTACAATATATCAAAATCTGGGAGAAAATTGATCACCGATAAGTGAGATAATCTCAATTAAACAAAGACAAAAATGACGTCATCAACAAAATACATTTGTTTGAGTTTAGATGCCAATATGATGACTTTGTTTCACTTTGTACGAGTCAGGGTGGTATGAAATCATATCTCCAACTCATGCTTTCTCTAACCATGATATAAAAATTGGGGGTCGATGGACTATCTGAAGAGCTATTTCGATTTTTAAAATGGCATGTTTTTTTATCAAATTTGCATTATATTGCCCATAGCAGCACGCGCAGATTTTGAACTTTGACGCACGCTCACGGCCTTATGAAATAAGAAGAGGGACTGAAATTAATGTAAATTGTCAATTACGTTAAGAGGAATCCAAATCATGTAAACATTTTGAATTTGACTTGTTCTGCGCGCTGTGAGCGCACACAACGCGCGCGGGGACACGTACGGATGGAAAATTTTGAAATGCTTGAAATGACCTGATTCGTACTCTCGTTAAGTGATTTTGAGCAATTTTAAATTTTGACGCCGCGTTTGCGCGCGTCATGACCTTTATTTGACCTTTGATGACACGACCTGTTGACCCTTAACCTGAAGTATATGTGATATGAATATGAATGAACTTTGAGTACGCATCATGAAGATATGATGGATAATGTGATTTCACAAAATGGCGCCTGGATGACGTCACGATAATTTGATGACCTTGAAAATGTTCCTGTCACGTCTTATGATGATTACCTATGACTGTATCAAAATTGAGAGAAATTGGGTGGATGGATATTGAGAAATCGGTTGCACAAAAAAGTGGAGAAATAAATAAAAATAAATAATAAATAAATAATGATAATAAATAAAGAAAGAAAATTCTGACGAAATCAATAGGTGGTCTGTTGACAACAGACCACCTAAATATTTAATTCAATATATGGATGTATAGGTAGAATTCTTAACTATATTGACAAACAATGCAGGTCCAGACTCTAAAGCTTCATAATATAAGTTCTGTTAAAAGTAAGAAGACAATGAGAAAATATTTAATCCAATATATGCGTGTATAGGTAAAATGCTTAACTAAATTGACAAACAATACAGGTCCAGACTCTCAAGCTTCAGGATATGCAGTGTCCAACACCAACCTCACATCACCTTGTAGAAGCAATATGCTGTATTCCAAACCTGACTGACCTGACAATGCATGGATGGAATTTCGATGAGGAGTTCTACTCTACATTGAAAGCAAAGGCATCATCCATACAGGTATGTGTGTCCTAATGTAAATGTCATGGAGGGTCATTGATCAACAAGACAGCAGTAATAGTTAAATGGTGCACACGTGTATATATATATATATATATATTATACAAATATTCGAAGCTGTGAGAAAGAATAGTGGAAATTATTTATCTGAGGAGGGACTGGCTTAGTACTATTTTTTCCGAGGGTCGAAGCCCCAAGGAAAAAAAATTAACTATTGCCAGTCCCTCCGAAGATATATAACTTCCACTATTCTTACGAACTAAAAGCTTGGTATATTTGTTTTATATCACTTTGTTACGATCCGAACGTCTGACTTAATGAATGAATGGCATATGGTTTTTAACTTTATTCTTATGTTACCCACATTGGGCTGGGCATTGGAGAAGTTTACAATCAGTTTGAATTTGCCAATTTAACCTGCGCACAATTATATTAACGCGCATTTAATGAGACGCGCTAATTGCGCATTATTTTTGACTGAACATGATGTGATGTCACAATGCTTTTCTACCTGAAAATCTCATAAAGCATGCGCAGTTCTGCCCATGAAAAAATAGTGGAAAATATTCGGAGCTCTGGCAGAGATTTGTTTCTAATAGTGAAATTATATTTTATCACGTGACCACCAATTGACCAATCATGTACTTAAAGAACTCATGAATATTTATAGAAGGGATATAAATATATATATATATATGTTTTTTTCCCCAAAACACAATTTTTAAAAGGCCATTCACTTGGTAAATTGGAATAGTCATGAAACATGAAAAGAAAGCAAACTACACCTAAGCTGATTCAGTTGAAATTTAAGTGTGTATAATACTATAAGATTTACATTGTTTTGATCAATCAATATCCAACCTTTTCCTAGTTTGATTGATATGAAAAATGTGTCATGTATTTTTTAAAACCAATTTTAACCAATTTTAATAAAGGCTTGAATTGTCCAAAGCTGTTCCATATCCACAAACTTGCTGACTTAAGGTTCTTGTGCACATGAAATCAGATTCATGAATACCTCCAGTATATTAATAGCAGATGGCAGATGCACATTTCTGAGGTATTATTTATTTCAGTGGTGTTAGGAGTAGAAATTATTAATTTAAACTGGTTTTAAGCCTTTTTGAGAATACATGTAGGACATTCAACAACAGAAAATAATGTAATCACCCTTCTGATGGAAACTATAGTGTTAGATAAGAATTAAATTTTAAAAAAGTCTATTTAGTTTTAAGAATGTCCATATGAATACAGCTCTGTTATGCATACAGTTGGGGATAAATATATGAATGCAATGAGAAATTAGTACTAGTAAATAAATATATGCAGCGCCCCCAAAGTTCCTCAGTGGAAGTACTGGTAATTGCACATGCTCTTCTTCTTGTCGAAAACCCATGGCTGGATTCTAACCAAAGTTTGTAGGAATCACCTGCAGAAAAGGGAGATCTAAAGTTGTTCAAATGGGATATATGCCACCAAGGGGGCTTGAGGGCAGCATCCCTCAAAGTGCCCCTATGGTAATAATTAGACAATTTGTACTGTTTCTAAAGGGGATGGAAGCTAGTTCCGTTCTTGCGAGACCCCTACTTTCATCCGCTCAGGTGAGCGTAAGGTCCGCCGACCTCTTGTTTTTAACATGATATTCATGGGAGCATGCATTAAATTGCGGGCTGCTATTTAAGAACATTATAGTAGGGACATACTAAGGTCTTAGGATGGTATTTTCAACCATATTTTCACCTTCTGTAGGTTGCCCTTTTACACAGTAATGAATGTTTAAATTCTATAAATTTAATATCAAAGATGCTCTAGACTATAGGCTACTAAGTCGAGAAAGATCTTGGAAATAAATTATTCTCAAACACATTGCTAACAGAAAAGGAGGCAGCTTCCACCTACCCTACCCATTTAGGGTTGGGTAAAAGTAATGCCCTCCTCTTCTCTGTTGTTCTCTGATCCCCTTATAGTATGAGAAAGTATAACGATTTGTCTAACAGGTAATTTGTTATTGTTTTCTTTTTACTTGATGTTGCTACCATATTCCAATTGCTACTGCTTATAGTGGATACTACTACCAGTACTACTACAGTAAAACTACCACTATTATTGATATTATTACATGTTGTCATGAAGTCGCAATATGTATTGGATCCATTTATTTAATAAATATTTGTAATTCTATTGTGCATAATTTTTCTTATTCTAGCTTTTTTTAATTCTCCATACATCTTTAGCTTATGGGATGTTACTGTAGCTCTTGGGTGTATATTCCCAAGAAAATAGATTATATGCCATAATGAAATAGATCCACTTACCTACTTGAAACTGATACAAGTTTTACAAGCAATGTTGCTTTTATATGTTACAGGGTTGTTTTCCTCAGATCAAGAAGGGAAAGTTTAGGGTCAATGGAGTTGCCCAAGATGACTTAAACTCATTTCTCAACACCCTCACATGTTTGCAAAGGTTAGTACAGTAGGCCTATATGTCAGATAACAGCATGTAGCCTGTTTATGGGTAGTGCAATACAGAAACAATATAACGAACCTCTGATGTAATACTAAGAAATGATATAAACCCCGGCAGGGAGCATGCGGTAAAGGGATATTGTGGTTCCTAAAAAGTTTGTCTGACAAAACTAAATATTCAGTAACAGCTATTTTGAACAAAATTCCCCACTGTATAGTACTTTAAACCTTAAATTTGTAGATTTTTAAAAAAAAATTGTAATGTGTGTACTTGATAATTTTTTGTTGGTGTTCTTGATATTTTTGTTACACTGTAGTCTCTTCTATTTTGTTTCTTCTTCATTCACTGATCAAAATGTTTCTTGAGACAGGTACTTTCAGTAATACTGATAGTAGTTGATATTTTATTTCTCATCTTTCATTCAGATAATAACAAAGAGAAATCTGTTTCCTCTACAGCTCGGACTTAGACTGCTCAAGTGACTGGGATGGCTCTACCAACTCAGGCAACTCAAATGACTCAGACAACTCAGCCGACTTTGGCAGCTCAAATGACTCGTATTTCTCGGCCAACTCAGGCAACTCAAATGACTCAGATGGTTAGGCTGACTCAGGCAACTCCCATGACATCCAGCTCTGCTCTGTTGCGTAACTCCAGTCTCTGGATATCATCAACCTGCCATGTCGAGATGGCACGTTTCAGATGCACCATTCAACTGATGATTGTAGAGCGGGCAGATCTAGCTGGCCTCAGCTTAGTCAGGACCACTCCACTACAGACTCCATTCAGCTTCCAATTATCGACCAGTTATATAGAAAAGAACAAATTCTTCAAGTAGGCTAGGTTCTTTCAGTCATGTATCACATTCAGCCAGCTTTTCTTCCATCTCCAATCCAAAATACAAGCAATACCGGTTGATATCAAAACTTTATGATATGTCAGATACTACTGTATATCAATTCTCTCAGATATACAGTGCGTCCCGAAAAAAACTATACACTTTTGAAATGGCTACCGAATAGAAAAATATATGATTATAGGGGAAAAGCTTTATATGTATGGAAAGCTCATAAGCTCAGCTTTCGTATGACACCAAAAAGTCCGAAAATAAATCATGCTTGGGTGAGCACTGCTCACTTTTGTAAAGGGTATGAAAATTAGGTTGCGCAGGAATTAGCCTTCCAAATTGTGAGAGGTAAATCCTTTGGAGCTTACGGAATTGAGGATGATATGACCAATTTATGATCAATTGTGATGAGTTTGGGTTTGCTGGGTGAAATTTGTGGTTTATGGGATTAACATTTTATGCATGAGTGAACAGGAATTGCATTTGTTATTACCGTATAGCAATGTAACTTTCCATGGTAGACTCAGTGGAGTGTTCATGGGAGTCAGGACGGGGTGATGGTACATGGTGCAGGGGGAGGTGAAATGTAGGGTAGGACTTTGTTTGGTAGATGGGATAAGGGTCAAGAGGACATGTATGCCCCTCCCCCTCTCTTTCTCTCTCTCTCTCTTTCTCGCTCTCTCTCTCTCTCTCTCTCTCTCTGCCTGGGTGTGCTTGTGCATATCTGGACAATCCATTACATTCAGCTATCAATCACTTAATCGAAAATGTGCTGTATCAGCCAATCAGTCAATCAATTAATCAATCAAGCATTCAATCACCATTCAGTATTTCAATCAATTTAATCATTCAATCATAATTAATCAATAACTCAGTCAATCACTCAATCTATCAACCAACCAACCAGTCATTTTAGCACTTGAGTTTTTGTAAATGGTAAATGGGTAACCGGAAGAATAAGTAGCCAACATCTGTGATATTCCTCTTTTCAACAAACCATATTTGAATAATCAATTTACATAATCCCCATCTGGTTATTAAGTAAATCAATGAGATGTTCAACTAATCTTACAATAATTGAAATGTGGGGTGAAGGTTTTTATTCAAAGTCACAGATGTAAAAAAATAACAGTTTGTAAGATGGAAATTACAACATGTACCATCACCCCATCCTGACTCCCATGAACACACCACTGAGTCTACCAGGGAAAGTTACAATGCTACAATAAAAAATGAAATTCCTGTTCATTCATGCATAAAAGTTTGGTTTTATAAACCATGTAAGTCACTCAGCAAATCATGAGTGTATCATATCACCCTCGATTTTGTAAGCACCAAAAGATAAACCTCCACAAATTGGAAGGCTAATTCCTGCGCAACCTAATTTTCATACCATGTACAAAAGTGAGCAATGCTCACCCAAGCATGAATTATTTTCAGACTTTTTGGTGTCATATGAAAGTTGAGTTTATGAGCTTTCCATACATATAAAACTTTTCCCCCAGAATCATATATTTTTTATTCGGCAGCCATTTCAAAAGTGTATAGTTTTTTTTGGGACGCACTGTACAGAGAAGGTAGCAGCAGTCGGAGCAGGCCCTGCAAGAGGCAACCTCCTGAAATTCAAGAGAAGCAATCAAAGTATGAAATCTGGTTGATATGGTATCGGTAGAGTAAGAGTGTAAGACAGTGTCCTACCCACTGGTAACACTTCATCTTGACTTTTTGTATGTATGATTCAGGGCTACACTAACTATTTTGGGGGAAAGAGGTTCAGATTTAACTTTTTAGTCTGTATGCATGAGCCTAAGTAAAAGCTTCCAAATTCTGGGGGTCCGGACCTAGATTTACGCGTCCACTTGCTGGTTTCAAGCCCTGGACTGATATCAACAAATTTGGGGTTAAAGGGATAATTTTCGGCGGATGTTTGTAAATGTTTGAATATTTATAATAAGGCTGTTTTCTTCTTTTTCACCTTGGATGAGTACAGTCCAAGGTGTTAGTGTATACATTTTACAAGAAAGAGATCATAATATTGTCACAATGTTTGAAAACTTGTGAAAGGAGTAGGCCTACCGTATGTAGAAAGTGATGCGAAAACAGGATATGTTTTGTGAATGTGTACTTATTAAAGGTATTACAAAGTTTTGGGAAATTTTGAAAAATGGGTGGATACTGATTCTTTACAATTTTGATATATTTAGATGCCCCTGTGGATGTATTTAAAACACCAGGGGGGTGTTTCACAAAGATCCTAAGTAGAACTTAACTCTAAGTTGGACTTAAAAATTATGGACAGCCATTGGAGTCTTTAAATGAAATATATTCAAAAGCAGAAATTCAAGTATTTTAGACTTTTTATTAATTCCACATCCAGAACATGAAATCTCCTTGATGATAGAAAATATGAATGATTTCAATAAACAATAAATGCCTTTCAAAATAACTTTTACAAAATATTTTCAAAGATGCTGATGGCTTTCCATATTTTTTAAGTCCAACTTAGAGTTAAGTTCTACTTAGGATCTTTGTGAAACACTCACCAGAAGTGTTAGCCCCTAAAACACTTCTGCTTTCAAGAAAAATTGAAAAGATGGGAGTTGTTGCTACCTTGTTTGGCGTTCAACAATAAGGGATAGAGCAACGTCGATCTAGCACTGCTCAGTGGCTGCCGGGCTCACGATCAAATTGGGCAAAAAGAATTTCTGTTTCGGTTTAATAAAATTTGGAGTGGACTATTAGAATATTATTATTATTATTATTATTATTATTATTATATATAGTGATTTACCGGTGCTCCCGGTAAATTTTGATAAATTTAAAATAGCTCCTATGGCCGTACAATGGTAGCTGCGACCATGACAATCTCAGAGTGTGTAGCTGTGGTATATATATTGAACGAGAATAGCTAATCGATCTATTTTAGTCAGTAAACATTGTTTTATAGCTTAATTAATATCTTGACCTTGAGAGGGAGCTATTCAACATAACATGTTTATTATTTACAATTTCATAACTTTTGAGTCGATTTCGACCTCGACAACGATCACTGAATATTGTAGGATCGTATATGCTTCCAATATGTTCATTTGAACAAAATTCATGACCCCATACCAAAACTTTGTATTACCTTTAAACCCAGAGTTGCATCGAGATCCCATTGTGTACTTGTTTTATGCAGAGAGGGTCATGTTGTGTGGAAAACGTTTTTGAAAAAAATCTGAACAGGGCTTCATTTTTTACTCGGCTATGATCATGCATAATGCCTGTGTATAGAAGTTATGAGTTAAAGCAGGGAGGTGATATAGAAGGAGTGGAATCAAGCCGCTCTCCTTTGACCCCATGCTCAAAGCCGCCAACATAGCTATGCCCTAATCTGCAACTGTTGACCAGGTGGTGATTTCAAAGAGCGCATGCAATATCAGAATTTAGAATTCCTACATCAGAAAATGGTATCTCAGCAAATATTTGCTGTCCCTTTCAATGATTTCTCATCAATTGTTGAATGTGTAATGAGTTGAACAAGCGAACACAAACTTTTGTAATTTCATACTTTTTTTCCAACTGCAACAATACAAAAATCATGCAAAAGCACGCATTAGCAAACTTAAAGTTATCAAAGATTGTAAATTATGTATTATGTGACGGGGTATTAAAACATGCGAAAATAATCAGATTATCCTGAAATATTGAATTTTTGTCAGGATCTAATTTTTCTTTTACCAACGCTGGCACACAAATTATAGGAAGGGCGGAGTACTAAATTTGAAAAAATTGTTTGATGCACTATTCCCAATACAATCCCCATATAAAGTTTATAATTTACACTGAAAGTTTGCCGGCTCTAGTTATCATGTCAACAAACTTCATATAATTCAATAGGTTAGTTGAAAACTAACTTTGTCTGGTTGGGGTATAGGCCTGAGTTATCGGTGTAACATTTTGTCTGATGTGGATTATTGTTTATATATTTAGAGCTACATCCAGTTCTAGATTTAAAAATCTGCTTGAAAAAATATTTTCCAGGATTTTCTTTACATCATTCCAGTGTATATATATGTAAATGTGCTGCTATAATTTTCAGATACATGTCTCTTTTGTCAATCTAACATGCCTGAGATATCAGTGGTATATTTAATTTGACATGGATTATTGTTTGTACATGTTTAACTACATTCACCAGTACTATAACAAAAATCTGTTTGAGGAAATTTTTTCCAGGATTTTCGTTACATCATTCCAGTGTACATGTAAATATGCTACTATAATTGCACGATACATGTTTATTCTAATTGTATTCAGTATTGGATTTCAATAATTTTTACGATACATATTCTATGCTTTTCTTCGCATCATTATGATTATGATTATGCAATGGTATGATACATGTGTGTGTTTCCATACTTGCCTTGTAAATAAATTGTATATTTTAGTAAGTTTGCATCCTTGAGTGACTTATAAGATACAAATGTAGGTAGTACTCTTATGAGCATTCCGTTACCTTGCCTTTTGATCACCATGCATCCTCTCCTGATTAAGTGATGTCATGGTGGAGATGAATGGATGAAATGAATATGCAAATGATGTGAAATGAATATGTATAGGGTAGAAGAGACTAGAGAAACAAATAGTAATTGTGACAAATAAAAGTAGGGAATCGGTCTAATTTTAACTCTTACATCATTTTTTATAATCCACTCTGATTTTCATGATATGCAATGCAAATCGCTCAGATCTGTGACTTTATTCTGAATTG